AATTCTTCTGTGCCGTTTAGCCTCCTCCCAGGCTGAGAATAAACGCCTGATCTGAAATAAGTTGAAAATAGGAAAGGCAGGAGGTGTCCAGAAGTTTGACTACATTTCTAAACCAAATGCTACTGTAAAAAATTATATCATAATATCTGTGATTATCTACATTAGGAGTGAGGAAACTGGCCAACAGTCACTGGTTTTTGTAACAACTGATGAGCTAAGAAAGATTTTTACATTGTTAAAGGATTGTAAGCAAACACATAAAAACAAAGAATGTGCAGAGACAGGATGTGCCCTGAAAAGTTTCAAGTATTTACTCTTTGACCCTTTATGGAACAAGTTGGCTAGCCCTTGATATACATCATTCAGGATATAGTATATTTCTTTACATGGACATTTAAAATTTCTTGCTCTTTTGTTTGTGTTCGGTATTGGCACTTTATTTTTTTTAATCGTTATATAGTTAGTTTTCTATTGTATGTGTATACCACAATTTAATAGTGGTTATTTAGTTTGCTTTTATAGCCAATGTAGGAATAAGCATATTTACACACATTTTTGTGACTTGGGGAATTGCTTGGTCAAATATTATATGCAATTTAAAATTTGATAATTATTGCTAAATTGCCCTCCCTTCAAATTGGACCATTTTATATTTTCCCCAATGTTGTTTTCCTTACTCATACCAACCTTTACCGAGATAAAATAGTTTGACTCTTTAATCAGATAGATCTCTTCATTTTCTATTGCTGAATAACAAACAGAAAATTTAGTGGTTTAAAACAACGTCATTATTTATTTTGCTCACAAATACTCAGTTTGGTCTGGGCTTGGTGGGAACAACTTTCTTGTGCTTTACTTGATGTCATTCATTTGTGGAGGCTCACTGGCTGGGGACTGAAATGGTTCTATGCTGGCTTCAGCTAGGATGTCAGCTGGGGCTGTGGAGAACACCTACGGAAATCCTTTTCATCTGGCTTCTTGGCACCCTCACAGTAGGGTGACTGAATTCCAAGGAAGAGCATCCCTTAAGAGGACTAGGTGATTTTATGATTTAGCCTCAGAAGCCACATGGCATCATTTCTACCATAGTCACAGGCCTGCCCAAGTTTAAGGGGGAAGGACCATAGGCCCCATTTCGAAATGGAGAAGTGGCAACGTCACATTGTAAGAGCACGTGTGTGGGGTGGGAAGTATTGGTGCAGCTATCCTTTGGAAGCTGCAGTCTACCACAAGGTAGAGTGTTTGTTTTGGCATGCATATCCTTAATTATGAGTGTGATTATGCAGTTGACCCTTGAACAACATGGGTTTGAACTCTGCAGGCCCACTTATATGTGGATTTTTTTTCATTAAGTATATTGGAAACTTTTTGGAGATTTCTTTACTCCTGTGAAGCAATCATATTGCTTATACTAGGCTACCATAAAGCAGTCATATTGCAGCTTCTTCATTACCAGTGCATGAGCCATTATACTTGTAAATAAATATGAATTTCTTTTCCGTATTACCTCTTCATTTTTGATGTTTAATGTTAGTAATATGTTTAACATCTGTAGTGTTTTGTATCATATAAAACAATATTGAGATAGTTCAGAAGCAGTGCTAAGATTTCATCCCGTTTTTAGTTTTTAGGTCCGTTTCTAGGTTTGATGTGCTCTGTTTTCTCCCATCATCTGGTGTGTGTGTGTCAGAATTCACTGAGGGTTCCAGGCCACTCAGGACCATCACAAGGCCTAGGTGAGACAAGGACCTTCTTGACTGGCATAATTTTAGATTTACAGAAAAGTTGCAAAGATAACGGAGAATTTCCTTCATTCAGTTTCCCTTAATGTTCACATCATACATTACCATTTTACATTTGTAAAGCTAAAAAAATAGCACTGGCACATTATTATTTAAACTCTATTTTATTACAGTTTAGCATTTTTAATTGATTTATTGGGGTGACATTGGTTGATAAAATTATATAGGGTTCAGGTGTACAATTCTATAATAGTTCATCTGTATATTGTGTTGTGTGTTCACCACACAAAGTCAGGTCTCCTTCCATCACCATCTATCCCCCCATACCCTTTCCTACCTCCCCCACCCCCATCTCCCTCTGTAATCACCATACTGTTACCTGTGTCTGTGAGGGTTTATTTATTTATTTTTTTGCTTAATCCCTTCACATTTTCGCCCAGACCGGAGACCCTCTCCCCTCTGACAGCGGTTAGCCTGTTCTCTGTGAGTTAGTTTATCAGTTTAACATTTTTAGCAGCTTTGTGATAAAATTGTACCGAATGTTATTAAAGAAGAAGCCAAGACAAAGGGCACAAGAGGGCTCTTTTGGACATTTACTGCCTCTCACCAAGTTACCCATAAAGAGTTATTTACCCATGAAGAGTTGATTCCCCTTGTCTGTTCCAGCTGCTGGGGGCACCTTGTATTTTAATTAATCATGGTGTAATGAGAATACTTATCCTAGTGCTTTTGAAATAATTAAAATAAGGGAGAAGGCAAAAAGTAATGCAGCCCAGGGTATAAGTATATAGCTGGCTAATTTGTGAAGGAGTTTTTTTTGTGTTTTTTTTTGTAAACCTTTTTATAAAATGCCCTGGTATGGTCAGTTCTGTTTTAATCACATGAGTGGAGAGAAGCATAAAAGTAATAATGATACATTGGTCATCCACCCTGATGAGTGTTTGTACACTCTATTGCTGGTTTTAGAATCCTAGAGCTTGGAGTTGAAGGTGGCTTGGAGGTAGTTGTGCTAACTTCTAACATAATACAAAGATTCCTTCAGAATATCTGTGCATTCATTAGAGGTTCAGTTTCTGTCCAAGCCCTGCGTACTGCTTTGTAAGGCAGTCAGTTCCGCTGTCCTTGTATTTGTCAGAAAATCATTCTCTTGAGTTGAAGGGTAGGTCAGTGCTCTGTCCTCTGTAGCAGTAAAGATAAAGACCAAATTATATCTATTAGGGGTATATAGATATAGGAGACATATATATGTATGTATACATGTATATATGTGTACGTGTATGTATACATAGATATAGGAGATAATACAGCCCTTTTGCTTTCTTCCTGCTCTCCTTCCTTCTTTTGAGATATCCCTCTCATTTATCACTTACTTTTTGTTTCTTTGTTTATATTTGGTTACTCAGAAATGTTGAGATAAAAAGATGAATAATGATGAGTAATCCTAACCTCATAGGGTTGTCTTGATGATTAAAGAAGATGACATGTGTGAAGTGTTTAGCACAGTACATGTTACACGGTACAGATTTAATAAATGCTAACAACATAGTGATGGTAATGGTCTCTGCCAATAAGTCTTTTCTTCCTAGATTAATAGGGAAAAGAACTGTAAACAACCACCTGTATACAAGGCTGAATGAAAATAAGTGGTATAGAAGAGAGAGAAGCAAAGTTCGTTTTATTCTAAGAAAGGAGCAATTAGTTTCAGTTAGAGATCAGAAAGAAGGAATCTTGTTTCCTTAACTTTAAAGAAATAGGATTTCTTTAAAGAAAATGGTATTCTAGATCATTTCCAGCAAAAGCATGGAGCTAGGAATGTGCATGGAACCTTAAACTGTTGTGTGTGACTGGGGGTTAAGCATGTGGAAGTTCTGGCGGGACGTAAGAATAGGATATGGAGAGTTTGGATAGCACAGGGCTTTGAAAACAGTGATGGGAAGTTTGTGTTTTGTGCTAGAGGCTTTGGGTAGTATTTTCTAGTCTTTGAACAGACTAGAAAAGATTGCAATCTTACAGCACAATAAATGTGATTATTATATATAGGCAGTTAGTGGTTCCCGTCAATTTAAAATCTTGACTGAGAGGGGGGCTAATGAAAAATATAGTAGGAGGAAATCATTGCTGTAATCCAAGGAGTGAAATGGAAACCGTTGGCAGATTGTGGAAAAATGAGTCTTTTAGAGTAAGCCCTAGGACTTTCTATAAATACATTTGGGGCTTTTCATACTTAGAGGATTAAACAAATTTATTAGACAATAACCTTCTCTCTCAAAGAATCTTAATTTCTGGATTGGGAGAAAGGATGGCACGGAAAGAAAGAACTGTACTTTTCTGGTTGACTGCACATGTAATTAAAGATGGACTTACCTCAGTAGAAAAGGCTATCTTTTAGCCTGAAGGGAGAGCTTTAAGCATATTTTAAAACTGAGCACTTTGTTTCTATTTTTAAGTCTCCAAAAATAAATTATTTGACACAGGGAATCAGCTTTTGGGAATGAATCTCAGATTTCAGCATTGCCAGCATTTTTTCACTGTGATATGAGATGATTTGGCTATCCCTTAAATTATCTTGTATTTTTGTTAGTTTATACTGTTGCTTGAGGAATCTTTGCCTTCCTAACATACTTGTAACTCCAAATAATTCATGCATCTTAGTTTGAGAAATTATTGGGAAGGAAGCCTGACTAGGAAATAGAGATTGGTTGACTGCTGGTCAAGTGAGAATTTAAGCTCAAAACAGTTGGGTTATTGGCTGGATGGAGTGACCAGTGAGTTATTGCCTTTATTTTTTGGTTTTGGCTTCTTTTCTTGGTTCACAGATAGATGGTCTGGCATCTAGACTGAACTAGCAATAGGATTGTATGCTTGTAATAGCTGCTGATTTTCTGTTGGTATGAGATGGACTTTGCATGTCTACCAGCATCCTTCTGAGGGGAATAAAAGCAAATCACTACTTAGTTTCTGTTCCAGGACATACTAATGCTATTCTGCAGGTATATAGCACTTACATACCATTTATGCTTTTCAAAAATACTCATATTGTCATTTCATGTTCATAACATGAAAGTGACATGTTTTAACCTTGTAAATGAGATAGGGAAGGGATGCTGAGACATAAATAAGAAACTGGGTTAAGGTTGTTGGCTCAACAAATAAATGACTGGGGCTACTTACTGTCTTTCATTTTTGAGTTGTTACTTTCAGAAAATCTTATAGGAGGAAAAAACTGAACTCCCCTCTTTTCTTATGGTTACTTTTTAGCGTCGTCTTAGACATCTTCGGAACATCGCTGCCCGGAACATTGTTAATAGAAATGGCCATCAACTCCTTGATACCTACTTCACACTTCACTTGTGTAATACTGAAAAGATATATAAAGGTAAAAGAATCCGTGGACTTGCTACCCGCAGGTCGTTACATCTCACTTTTCTGCTTTTGTACAGTGCCTCTTGCTATGATTGCTTACTGGAAAGCTAAATTGTCACGTTGTGAAAATATTTCATGAGCAGTTGTTATATATATTAAAGAAACATGATGTTTAGGTAGTGCTTGCAGATAACTGAGCCTTATATTGACAAGTTTACCATTCCTTTATGAATGTTAGCTATTAATATCTTTATCCCAGTAGCTATCATTTCAAATAGATTGTATGAATCCAATATCCATTACTAATTTGCTTTTCTTTAAAATGTAATTGATTTCTTTAATATTATAATTGGGTCCCAGTTCATACCTTCTCATGTCTGTAGTTCCTTGTGTATATGGAGCCATTTTTTAGAATTGTCATGGTTTCTGTGAATTCGGTTTTATGTATTGAAATGTTGATTCTTCTGTAAGTGACTGTTCTAAAAGTAGACCAGATATTTGATTTAAAATCACAAGCATCTTTTGAATACATAATTGGCTGAAAGGTACTTTGATATAATGGTTGACCTTATGTCAGATGGTGTAAGAGGAAGCATGGTATAAGGACAGGGGTATTGGATCAGGATTGAAAATTTCGATGCTAGTTCTAGCCCAGCTATTTCCTAGCTGTGTGACTTTGGACAAAGATCCTGGCTTTTTGAACCTCATTTTTCCCATTTGTATGGTGGAGATAATGAGTTCCTCTGAAGCCGGGGAGACAGATTTTTATGAGGATCAGCTGAGATAAGGGGATAACACTTGGTACAATATTATTAAAGTTCTTCTTATATTAACAAAAGGTGACATTATTTTAATAAAAGTTACTAAGGACTGATTCGAATTTTGTCCTGTGGCAAAGATGAATTATTCAAATGACATTTATCTTTTGGTTTTAATTACTTTTAGTAACCATTATTAAAGCAGTAGTTGTTTTAACAACTTTAAAAAAAAATTTTAATACCAGTATATGCTCATTAAAAAATTCAATCAGGAATTATATAGAATAGAACCCCACCTCCCAATGTACATAGCATTAAAATAATTTTTAAGGATGAAAAAGGACTCTTAAAATCTACCATTTTCACATAATTCTGCTTCATTCTTTTTTTTATTCTGACCATTACCTGTGTGAACGCGCGCATGCACACATTTTTTATCCTCATTTGAGGATATGTTCTTTATTGATTTGAGAGAGAGAGAAAATCATTGATCGGTTGTCTCCTGTATGTGCCTGACAGGGGATCAAACCTGCAACCTGGGTGTGTGCCCTGACTGCAAATCAAACCCGCCACCTTTCCATGTACAGGCCAGTGCTCCAACCAGTTGAGCCACACTGACCAGGACACCATTGCATATTTTAAAAACAGTTGTTGCCATCTGAATGATTAAGGCTAGCTACTATAACAAATGCCACAAATCTCAGTGGCTTACCATCATACATTTCTTTCACTAAGTCCAGTGCAGGTGTTCTTTATCAGGTACTGTCCTGGCAGCTGTCCGCTAAGTGGTGACTCAGGTATCTAGGCTTCTTCTATTCTGGAACTCTGCTGCCATCAGCACATGACCTCTGGTATGGCAGGAGAGGGATTATTTGAGGGAAATTTTTTTACTGGAACTGGCCCAGCTTAATTCTATCACATTCTATTGGCCATAAATCTGCGTTGTTCTTTTTAGATGAAAAGGGGTCTGGGAAATGTCTTCCTTTGTGTCCAGAAGGAAAATAAACAGTTTGGTCGCTATTTGTTCTAAAGGTATAAGCATTTTTGTACATCTTAATACATTTGATCAACTACTCACTAATGGTTTTATCATTGGCAGTATATGACAATGCCAGAGTATTTTAAATTTTTGATAGATTTCTATATGATCAGTTCTTGGTTATCTTCATAGAACTTTTGTGTCCTTGCTCCATTGTCATCTCTGGTAATAGTAGTTAACACAGTACTTAGTGCATTTTAGGTATTTGGTAAATGATAGCAGTTGTTATTAGAATTGTAATGTTAACAATCATAATAGTAGTTTCTAAAAAGAGTATCATAGACTGTTTCTTGAAGTTACCTCAATACAATGATCATTAACACAATTAGGGAATAGCTCACGACACACAGTTGCCTACTCTACTTCTCTATTTGAGTCCAGTAGGTAACTTAAACTTGGTGTATTCAAAACTGAGTTTCTGATATTTCAACTCTGAACCACCTCCTGTATTCTTCCTTCTTTCAGAAAATGACAACTCCATCCTTTCATTTCCTGGCCAGAAACCTTGGAATCATCCTGGATTGCCCTTTTTTATATCCCACATCCAATCTTTCAGCAAATACTTTTGGTTCTTACTATCAGAATATATCCATAACCCAATCACTCCTTGCTACCTCCAAACTACTATCATCTCTTCCCTAAATTGTTGAAGTAGACTTCTAGGAGGTTTGCCTGCTCATGTACCTTCTTCAATATGTTCCCAACTGAGATCTCATTAAAATGAAAGTGAGATCATTACTCTCTTTAAAACCCTCCAGTGCCTTCCCATCTTACTCAGTAAAAGCTAAAATCCTAATGAAGTTTTCTAGAAGGCCTTTCATGATCTGATTCTGTTACCTCTTGGAACTCATCTCCTTCTACTCTTCTAGTTCTCTGTTCCAGCCACACTGACCTTCTTGCTGTTCCTTGAATGTATCAAGTTTACTCCAATTTAAAGGCCTCTGCACTTGCTGTGTCTTTGGCCTAGGCACACTTTCCTCGTGTCTACATGACAAGCTCCTCCACCTTCTTTCAGATCTTGATGCCGAATGTTTCCTCAGAGAAACTCTCCTGATCATTGACTAAACCCTTTTAAAAATTGTCACTGTTCTTCTCTTGTCTTTTGTGCTTTATTTTCCTCCACAATACTTAAGATCATTTGACATACTATATATGTTTAATGGTTTGGTTAATGTATGTCTCTCTCTACTAGAATGTAAGCTCCATGGGGGCAGAAATTTGTTGGACAGTAATTTTTAGGTGACTTTTGTTCACTGCATTGTCTCTAATACTCGGAACAATGTTTTACACATACTAAGCTTTTATATATTATTTTTCCATTAAATTTTTGAATAGGTAATGCAGTTTATGGTTCAGAATATATATAAAGTGCCGTTCATTGTTATATATGTATATTTGTATTAGTCTTCCTTTTGCCTTTCCTGTCTCCCTAGTTTTCCACTCCACCTCGATAACCAATTATTCATTTCTTCTTTATCTTTCCGGCGATTCTTTATACAAATACAAGTAAAGTTAGTACCAAACTATATATATTTCTGTGCCTTGAAATTTTTACTTAATATGTCTTAAATGTTTTCCCATATTTAAAATATTTTTCCATATTGGTTCATAGAGAGCTTTCCTAATTTTCTGCATAGTTTTGCATTGAAGAAATTATTTAACTGGCTCCTGTTGGTAGGCATTTATAGGTGGTTCCAGTCATTTGCTGTACACGCAGCACTGTATTGAATGACTTTAGAAGCATATTATTTTGTATATTCCAAGAAGTAGAAGTACAAAGAGAGTGTGTACTTGCAGTTTTGGTGGATATTAGAAAAGTGTCCTTGTTTACATTCTCACTCTCTATGTCCTTTCCCCCAGAGCCTCACCAACAGACTGTACAAACTTTTGAATTTTTGCCAATCTGATAAAATAGTTTTATAGTATAGTTTAAGTTGTATATCTTGTCTTGTGCGTGAGCATTTGTTGAGTGAATGGAATGCTGCATAACAGCCAGAACATCCATTGGAAGCATGCTCTGCAACCTCTGGTTGCTTTGTTTTTTTAGGCCCTGGCATGGATAGAGGAATGTTTGTATCTAATGGTCCCTTTCACTTAGAAATCAATCTTGGATGATCATCTTTTTGCTCAGATTGAATTAATAAAAATATAATTTTATAATTCACTATTTCTTTTGAACCTCACAACCACCCTATTTTTCAGTTGTCATTGGCCTTTGAAAGGTAGAGAAACTATGGCCCAAAAAGGTTGACTTGTCCGGGGTCAAGCTTATACATGGTAGATTGAGGACTGGAACTATTTTTTGACTCGAAATTTTTCTAAATTCACTATTCTCTTTTTTTTACCATGCTGCTGATTTTATTGACAATATTTTAGATGTAACAAAATGATAGGCACTGTAGGCCCATGTTTAGCATGTTAGAGATTACCTCTGACTTGGTTGATTTCTTTCCAAATTGTGTGGCTCCTTTGTTGACCTCTCTGCATTTAAATGAGCAAGTGCATTTTGAGGGTCTCATGGAGAAGGAAAATTGTTTAGTTTCATTTATACATGCAGCTAGTTAGCAAAGTTCGAAAGAAATAATGATACTATTCATCCTCTAAGAGCTGGAGATATTTATTTTGGGAACTATTTAATGGTTTAACTTGGCAGATTAGCGGAGGAATTCTCTCAGAATAAAAAAGGAGTATCTTCCTCCCCATTTAAAAAGTAATACATATTGTAATAAATTCAAATAATGGAAAAATGTAAAAGTATAAAGTGGAAGTATCCTGTTATGAAAAACAACACCTTTTTAGCCCCTTTAGTCTTTCTTTCTAAAAATATATCTAGTATATATAAATTAAAAAATATGTGTGTATTAATATATAATAAATATATTAAATTAACATGTAATATATTAATACATATATTAATATAAATTAATTACATACATATATATCTATAATTAATTTATGGTTGGAATAATTGGTTAGCCATTTGGGAAATAAAATGAAAAGAATAATACTTAGTGTTGCTTAGTGTTGGGGAAACAGTTATTTTTGTAAGTGGGATTGTAAATTGGTACAATATTTTTAGAGAATAATTTGGCAATATCTATGAAATTCATATTTTTCTTTTTGTCTTGCAATTTTACTTCTAAAAGTTTATCCTGTAGATTCAAATGTCTTATATATAGCTTTAAAAGATTCTTTATTTATAGCCTTACTTGAAATATCTAAAAATTAGCAGTAATCTAAATGTTCATCAGTAGGAGATTCTTTTTAAAGACAATTAGAATTATCCCTTTTCTTATTTCAAATAATTGTTTGAAGTTAGAAAAATTAGAAAACTTTCAAGCAAAAGCTGAAAGTTAGCAACTTAATCTTATCACCTAAGGTAAACATTGTTAATATAATTATAACAACTTGGATCCTGTTATAAATTCTTAGAATCTGTTTTTTTCCACTTAATATATCGTGACTATTTCTCCACAAAATTGAATACCCTATCTTTATTTTTTTAGGAAGATAAGCTTAGAGTAACATGGATGATGTGTTTGTCAAAAGTGCTTTAACCAAAAGAGCTTGCCCACAACAGTGCTATGTCCATATCTGCTTTTATTTACTGCCTGACAATTCCCAAGCTTCAGCTATTAGTGTACCACCTCGATAAGTTTCACTATATTTGAGTTCTACCTATACCATTGTATCCTTAATATATTTTTAAAGTTTATTATTTTTAAACTTATTTCTAAGAATAATGTGTGAAATTGTTGATTCAAAACACTTTTGTCTACCCTGTGCCAGAAATGGTTTTACGTACTGAGGAGACAGCAGTTGTACAAAACAAACACTACTACTCTTTATAGAGCTTAGGATGACAGGCATAATATATGAGACATAAGTTTCAGTATATTAGAAAAAAATAGTTTGTCCATGTATCATCTAAAATCATCTCAAGTACCAGTGGTATGTGCATCTCACTTGGAAAATAGTGCCCTATAGCAACCTAAGGATAAAAGGGTCCTTGTAGGCTCTGCAGAGATAGAGCATCATGGAGGTGACTTTGGTAGAGTCAACAGGGAATGTTGGAGGGTGGTTGGAAATGTCTGCCTGAACCTCTGTCACATTTCTCTCTTTTGATTGTGTCTTGAGATTTTATAATATTTACAACATACTTGAGGGTTTGGAGAATCATGAAATTAATTAATTAATTAATTTTTAATTGCACCCAAGGATATTATTTATTTTTTAAAAATATGTCTTTATTGATTTCAGAGAGAGGAAGGGAGAGAGAGAAACATCAATGAAGAGAGAGTCATTGATCAGCTGCCTCCTGCACCCCCCAGTGGGGGATCGAGCCCACAACCTGGGCTTGTACCCTGATCAGGAATTGAACCATGATTTCCTGGATCATAGGTCAATGCTCAACCACTGAGCCACGCCAGCTGGGTGAGGATATGTTTTTTTATTGACTTTTAGAGAACAAGGGAGTGAGAGAGAAACATTGATGTGACAGAGAAACATTGATTGGTAGTCTCCCTTATGCGCTCTGGGGATCGAATCTGCAATCTGGGTATGTGTCCTGACCAAGAATTGAACCCTCCAACTTTTGGTGTACGGGACAATGTTTCAACCAACTGAGCCAGCTAGCCAGGGCTGAATCATGAAATTTTAATGCTTACAGAGGACCTTTAGTTATTAGTCTAATTCTCTAAGTTGCTTAATGAAAAGTGAACCCAAAGAAATTAAAGAGACAGAATATTAATGACAGATGGAACTAGAACCCAAGTTACCTAGCTGCTAGATCAGTATTCATTTCACAATACTACAATGCATAATCATAAGAGATGTTTGAGAAAAACAGAGAATATGGAATCAGTTGTAGAGAATGGCAGTAGGTAAGGCAGAAGAAAGTGAGTTTTAAGGACTCAAATTTGAATTAGGGTAAAAGTAGCCAGTAAAGTAAAAATCACTAACTTAAATCTTAATAGGTTTCGACCTTTCTTTACTAATGTTTTCCCTTGAAAGCACTTTTATTTAATCTTTATTTCTATTTTAATTTATTTTTTTACAGATAAAAATAGAGAATAGATCTTGAAAATGTTTTAAATGTTTTACTGAAACATGTTAAAAAATTTACCAGATTAAGAGTTAATGAGCTTATTTTTTTTCCAGATCACTTATTGTTCTTTTTCTTTTTTTCCAGAATTTTATAGAAGTGAAGTGATTAAGAATTCCTTGGTAAGTTTGCCTTCTGACAGGTACACATGACTAAGCCTGTAACTCCTGTTTCAGAAAATGCTGAGACATAAAATAAGGTCAAGTTTAGTTCTGACTTCTACAGTTAAATCTTATGCTTAATTACTGCTTAAATCTTTATTGATTTGTTCATTTCTGTATCTCTTGTGCTTAGAACGTGCCTGGCACATAATAGGTGCTTGATAAATATTTGCTGAATGAACTGATATTTTTTCCATTAAAAAGTTTGGTGTTTTTTTCAAATCAAATTTTATAATTCTATCACTTCTGTTTACTATAGAGATTTTTGACTTACCAAACATTTTAATAAATGATCTATATTTGTTTAGACATAGTCCTTTAATGTGCCATTGTAGGTTTCTTCCACTTGTTTTTGGCAGTGGCATTGCTCAGTTAGAAACTCGGATGTGCCCTACTTTTGATAATCTGTGCACTTGATATTTGCATAAATGGCTCAATTTATTGGGCCCTATTGATAAAAAGAAGAGCTTTCTTTTAATGGTCTAAGACCATACTGGATTTGGCTACTGTCCACATTTTAAAACCTCATCTCTTAATATTTTTTCTCATTCATAGTGTTCTAGGTATATCTCAGTTTTTCAGTGCTTTCAACATGCCAAGCTTGTCTTGTTCCTTATGCTTAGAATACTTGTTTCCCCATCTCTTCATCTGGTTGAAGAATTCTTTGAGGTCTTAGCTATGTCACTTCAGCTGGACTTTCTATAACTATTCCATCTAAAGTAGTTTCCTTTTGCCCTGGCTGGTGTGGTTGAGTTGGTTGGAGTGTTGTTCTGTGCACTAAAAGGTTGCGGGTTCGATTCCTGGTAAGGGCTCATATCTGGGTTGTGGGTTTGATCTTCTGTTGGAGCGCATATGGGAAGCAACTGATAGATGTTTCTCTCACATTGATGTTTCTCTTTCTCCCTCCCCTCCCCTCTCTAAAAATCAATAAAAACATATCCTCGTGTGAGGATTAGAAAAAAAAATCCTGCTCTTAAAAATAAATAAATAAATAAATAAATAAATAAATAATAAATAAATAAATAAATAAAGTTGTTCCCTTTCCCCTATTCACTGTTTTTCACCGAATCTACTTTCCGTAGCACATTCATCACTATCCGAAACTTAATCACTTTTTTGTGTTTATTTATTATTGGTCCCCCATCTACCATAGCATAAGTCCCATTAGAGCAGGGGTCTTGCCAGTCTCGTTCACCTCCGAAACCCTACAGTGTAGAATAGTATAGATGCTCAGTGAGTATTTGTTGGATGAATAAATGAATATCAGTGGTGTATTATATTTGCAGAATCCTTTCAAATATGTAGTCCCATTTTGATCCTTAGAAAAGCATGTAAGGTAGATGGGATGGGGTAGATCTTAAAAAACTGACATACGGAGAGGCCCAACAACTTTCCCAGCTATACAGCTGCAAGACCAGAACTTCAGTCCTAGACCTTCTGTCTTAAAGTTTCTACTCTTCTTCATTGAGCTGTCTTCCAAATGTCTCAACTATCATAATAGATTTGGACCCCAAACCAAACAGGTTCCTGAAGCCCATCTCAGAGGGGCTTGAGTCATCAGTAAAGCTCTTCATACATTACATAATTCATGATAAATGACTGGCACCATGCCTGACACATAGTAGCTACTGAGTAAGTAGTTTTCCCTTTCCTTCTGGCTTAGGTGGAAATAGAAACAGCCTACAGACAAGTGAGAGCTGGGGAAGGGGTTTATGGAGCAGAAAGAGGAGAATGTCACTTTGATTTATCCTACTCCCTTTTCCGTAGTCAAAACTCTAGTTGGAGATGGTTTTACAACCTCCCATTGCATTTTCCCTGGGTTTGTATCATAATGGACCCTAAGCTATGGCGGTACTTTAGTGTATTATTCGGCATTACTAGTTTTGCATTTACTTGATGTTCACTTGACTTCCAGATCCATATTTCTAAGCATCATCTCTTATCTTCAGCTCCTGTTGACTCCTGTCTTCGGTTGCTTCTGAACTGTCTATATGAATTGTGATGTCTCCATCCCTGGTGGACTTAGGCTGAATAATGTTTTCTAAAATGGATTCCAAACAAGGGAGAGGGTTGGACAAAAAGACATCCAAGGTTCTTTCCACTTAGAGTTTCTATTGTAATTGCTTCCTGAGTATACCACTTAACAACATTTGCTTGCCTTGTACTTGTTCATGAGCATTTCATCTCCCAAAGTGGATGTAAGCTCCTGGAGGTTGGAAACTGCCTGAATATCTTTATGTCTCCCTAGCTCCCACTGTATTTCTTCTGCTGGGTAGTTGTTTGTTAAATGTTGATTCACTGATATTTCCTTTTAAGAATATTCTCTGAGATTATATTTTTGGCAAGGATTGTCATTTGTTTCTTTTATAACCTTAATATAGGTTTGATAAACGTCTATTCATTTCTTTTCTTTTTGAAAGGGTTCTTCTTAGCTTTTTGCTAAATCATCGTGACTGGCGCAGATTAATGGACACTGAGCACCACACAGGAGTCAACAACCCTCAGGGCATATGCTGAGGATGGAAGTGTTTCCTCCCTTCTTGCTGTCTCTGAAGAACTGTAGCTGAGCAGAATTTGTTGATTTCTTCCCTGTTTAGGAGTTGTTTTTTAATTTTATCTTCTCGTCACCTTATATGAGAGAGAAACACCCGCACATGCCCCAACTGGGGATTGAACCTGCCACCTTTTGGTGTATGGGACAATGCCCCAGTCACCTGAGCCACATGGGTCAGTGCTCCTGCTTAGGAGTTTGTAATTCTTAAATATTGTCATATTTGCTGAATAGAGGTAGTGACTAAAATGCTTTTAATCCTCCTGGTTACCATTGTGCTTGGCGCATAGAAGGTGCTCAGCAAATGTTTCTTAATGAATGGGTTCTTTCGTAAATATATTTATTAACTGACTTCTAATTAGCTACTAAAGGATTCGGCAGAATAATACTTTATTTCTAGCTAAGTTTTCGGTAAATTTTCACTGTTGTGAACTAAGTTGGACCCTGATAAGCTTGTGAGTAATCTTTTTTACTCATGTAACTTTAAAGCTTTGGCTTTTCCCTAGGTATATATTCTGAGCTCGGTCTTTAGACTAGAGTGGCCTGGTTTTGCCACTCTAGTGTCAAATGCAACATGGAAAAATGGACACAAGATTAGAAAGAGTGTTTTTCCTTAAAGGTTAGATAAACTGCCCTAGTGTGCCTATCCTATGCCTCTTTCTAACTCCTGAACACTTGAAATTAGTGCTGTCCAATAAACTCTCTGTGATGACAGCAGTGTCTGTGCACTGTCCAGTACAGGTGCCCCAGCCACATGTGGCTGTGAGCACTTGAAATGTGGTTAAGTCTAACTAAGGAACCACATTTTTAGTTTTATTTAATTTTAATTTAAATAGCCACAAGTGACTAGTGGGTGTAGTATTGGGCAGCACAATTCTAGATGCTTCTAAAAAGCTTTCTTATAATCTGTAACATTAGAAGGAAGAAATCTTTTTTTGTGTGTGCTTTAAAAAATATGTATACTTTGTACTTATGGTACTAGTACCATTCTAAATCAGTATAATAGCTGTTCATATGGTTGCCTTAAGTCCTTTAACATACAGGATAAACCTCATGAAGGCAGGGACTTTGGTTCATTGTGGTATCCTCCTTAGGCATTATATTGTGCTTGGCTTGTACTTGGCAAACAAGCAAGGAAAAAGCAATTTATAGTATATGTATATCCTAATCTAAGTTTTCAGTTGTAAGACTCATTATTATTTTATGTTCACCAAGAAAAAATGAACTCTTATGTTTAAACTGAAACCCAGAGCCTTGGCAGTAGTCTTTTTTTTTTTTAATATATCCTTATTGATTTCAGAGAGAGGAAAGGAGAGGGACAGAGAGACAGAAACATCAATGATGAGAGAGTCATTGATCGAGCCCGCAAGCCGGGCATGTGCCCCGACCGGGAATCGAACCCCTATCACCTGGATCCTAGGTCGACGCTCAACCGCTGAGCCACGCCCGGCTGGGCGGCAGAAGTCTTCTGTGAATTGTGATTCAGTCTTACAAGCTCTTGTTACTTTGAAATTTATTTCATCCATTCCAAGGGAGTGTTTACTTAGCAATTTTTCCTTCCTTCAGGTGCCTTGCTTGACCTGTGATAGGGAGTCTTTTGTATGTTTTTCAGTGATAAAGCATAAACCAGCTTCCTAAATTTCTGGGAATTTCCTTAAGTCCCATAAAGAAGATGGATGAGGTTATTTCTTCATTGACAAATATTTGCTTTTCTAACACCAAATTCATGCCTTATTGCTCTATTTCTGTGCCTTTCTGCCTACATAAAAACTTAATACCTTTTATTGAATTTTAACAAGCATAAGAATTTACAGACCTTAAGTATACATCTTGATGAATTTTTTCAAATTGAATACACCCATGTAACAAGCATCTAGATCAAGCAATAGATTTTCAGTGCCCCAGAAGCCCCCTCATGCCCTTTTCAGTTACTGCTACTCTCTTGACTTTTAATGCCATAAATTAATTTTACCTGTCTTTGAGCATTATGGAAACGAAACCATGTACTCTTTTGTGTCTGACTTTCATGCCTTAACTTTATGTCGTGGCTCATTCATATTGCGGGGGTGTATTTGTAGTTTGTTTGCCCTGTAGTACTCCATCCTGTGAATATATCGGAATGTGTCCATTTTTCTGTTGATGGACATTTGATTAGTTTCTAGTTTTGAACTAAGATGAGTAGCGCTGCTATGAACTTTCTTGTGTATATCTTTTGGTCGAAAGTATGTATGCATTTCTGTTGGGTATATATCTAGGAGTGGACTTGCTGGGAATATGCATGGGATTAGTTTCAGTGTATATTTCCAGTTTTCCAAAATTATTGTTTTATTTATACTCTTACCAGCAGGCTGTGAGAATTCTCCATATTCTTGTGAACACATTATTTCTTTAATCTTTTGAATTTAAATTTTTGATAATGTATACAGGACTTTTTTTTTGTTTAAATCTAAATCAATAAAGGTATTTTAAATGGAACTTAAACTCAGCACACAGAGTGCCAACGCTGTGCCTAACTTGAAAGAATTGATATTAACAACAGCTATTTTTAAAGTTGTGTATGTACAGACATCTAATGACTGCCACCTGGTGGTCAAATATTGTAGGACCGTATTGGTTTTAACATTTCTAAAATCAGAATTCATCTTACAGTGTGAAGAAAAGTATACGTTAGAATTGAAAAGTTGGAATGCGTTAAATGGTAATAAATATAATGGAGTAAAATAAAGCAGCAAAAGGGAGTATTTGGCAGGGGCGGTGGTTGCTTGTTTTTCTATGGTAACCACATAGACGATATCATTTGAGCAGACACCTGAAAGAAGGGAACAAACTGTGTATTTATGTGGGGAAAGATAAATAGATACACATGTTCCAGGCCAAGAAACAGGAAAGGGGGAGTGTACTTGAGGTTTTCAAGAAATGGCTAAGAAGTTAGTATGGTTGAAGTGGAGTGAGCAGGGTAGTTTGAGATTTTCCTAGGCAAGCATGACAAAGGGGCAAAGGACTTGAGGACCAGGGCAGCAGAGGAAATGACCTGGAAGACAGGAGACGGCAGTGAAAGGATGGATAGCGTAAGAGTAAGATTTTGGAAGGGATACAGTTATAGGTCACACAAAATTAGGAGCATCTGATAGACAGGGACTCCCCAGCTTACTCATTTTTCTATTTTCTAATGTCCCCAGCACAATGCTTTACCCAGAGGCCTATAAATGTCTGTTGCATTGAGTAAAATAGGTTAGATGGTAGAGATGTGTCTGCAAGTTATGTCAGAGTGATCGTTTCTTCTCAAATATATTCAGCATAGAACAATTACTGGTGAATGTATCATTAAACTTTTAAAAAAAAAAAAATATATCCTTATTGATTTCAGGGAGAGGAAAAGAGAGGGAGAGAGAGAGATAGAAACATCAATGATGAGAGAGTCGTTGATCTAGCCTGCAACCCGGGCATGTGCCCTGACTGGGAATCGAACCCCAATCGCCTGGATCCCAGGTCGACGCTCAACCGCTGGGCCATGCCCGGCTGGGCTGTAACATTAAATTTTAATGTCTCTGGCTTCAACTAGCTATACCCTCCAAACCATTTGTTAACTTTTGGGAACTTTTCTGTTTTGGTTCAGGATGAGATTGGAGCCTTAATATAGTTGATGGACCATTGGTAATAACTAAAATGACTGAAGCAGTAAGAATGGAAATAACAATTCTCTAAAATGGATTTTGTACACACGGAAAGTAGAGATGAATTATAATGAACCTATCTGTAACCATCTTTAACAATTATAAAGTTAATTATAAGTTTTTTTTAAAGGGAATTTTAAAACTTTTATTAGAAAATTAAAAATCCCATGGTGTGTCTTTTAAATACATAAAAGGTATTAATTATTAAGTACCCACCTGTAATTCAAGTAGGGTGTTGGATGCATTATATATATATTGTTTCTTATCCTGATACCAATACTATAGGGTAAGAGATATGCCTGTTTTATTAAGGAAACTGAGGTTTAGGCCGAGGAACTTGCTTGAGGCTGTAAAGCTAGTGGTGTAAAGCTGATGTTCGAAAGCCCTGCTCTTTTGCAGCATCTTGCTGCTTCCCCATATCACATTCCTTCAACTGATTAAATGTCTGCTACAGTTCTAGTAGACATCAGTGATGGGCCTTATAATTGAGTAAACACAGTTCTAGAGCATGTATTTTTTAGGGAAAGCATGTGACATGATTATCGGAACCATAAACTTCTGTTGGAATTGTGACTGTCTGAGCTCTTTTTAAATCTTTGGGAAAATCTGAATTGAACCGTACAAATAGTCATTTATGAGATATTGGCCAGAGTAGTCTCAAACCAAGATTCTGTTTCAGTTGAATTGTGATTGATGAATTAACCTTTCATCTTTGTGGGTGTGTGTTTGTGAGTAGGGAGTTGGCTCCTCTTGCTTATGCCAAATGCTGTTACTCCGTGTTATACTATATGGTCTCTAGGGTTTTCCAGCTTCTTTCTGGTCAACTACATGGTTTGGAGGGAGACTCAGATAATTGGCACATGCAGTTATAGTACCAGGGAACAAGAGGATCCTATGAAAACATGTAGAAGTATCACTTATCTCAGTTTGGGAGAGGATGGGTAGTAAGGATGAATGATGAAGGATGAATAGAGGGGAATGAGACGGGGAAAGAGAGGTTATTGGGCTGAGGAATAAATACTGCTTACAAGTTCAGCATGCAATTCCTGAGTTATCCTGTACATTTTGGGAAAGTTGGAGCAACTTTTAGGAATTTTCAGTTGTGTTTCTTGTGACCATACATTTATTATTGAGTGATAAGAGCAGTGATAACTGATTTGCATGTGTTTTAAAAATTTTCTGTATTTGTGTGTTTCTTTAATAAATAGGTATGAAATGAGCAGTTGTTGGTCAGTGTTATAGAGAAATTGTCCTGGTAATAAATAATAATTTTAGGTTCTCTTGTGGGTAGTTAATAAGCAGTGAGCTTTTCAAAGCCGTAAATATCCTGATATTCTGCCACTGTGAATTAGTGAATATGGTAAAGGTCTCTAAATGATGTTAGTACTTGAATAATTTGTTCCACCTAGAAAATGGGCTGGTGTGTTTAGGTAAATATAAGTGTTTTATGGGTCTTTAAGTAACATTATTTAGTAATAAAGTCTTTGAATGTGCGGCAGACTGTGTCTGCCTATATCTGAATGCATCAACTCAGGAATTACTGCTTATCGTCTGGCACCTAATTTATAAAAGTATAAAGGAAGGTCACTGTAATAAGATTGACAGTAGCTTTACTATATTAAAGTTTAGAAAGGAAACCCAGCTCATCTTTTCAGCTGCATGAAACAACTTCAGAAGACTACTCTCTCCTCGAAAGACTTAATTTATTTTAGAAAGAAGTATTGAAGAATATTTAATACAACATGTACATTCACCAAATCTTTACTTTTTCACTTTGGAAAGCAGTGGTTATTTTATACTTTTTCTGGGGCTTATCATTGACAGAGAGATTTTGAAATTATATTATTTTATATTCCAGAGCACATGTGCTTTTGTTGAGAGGTGATCTTACACATAGGCGAGTAAATGGCAGCCTTTTCATGTGGTACGATTTGAAGGCCAGGAAGGTCCTCCAGCTCCTGCTCTTTAGGCTTTAGGGCCTAAAATTACACCATGAAGAGATGCTGTAGATTGATTTGTAGATGTGGTATTTTCCCCATTATTGGGTTAGTTTTATAAATTAGTTTTATTACTTTTTGTTGAGATACAGCACATTGAAGGGCACAAATAATAGCCTGATGAGTTTTCAAAGCGATCAGTGTAACCAGATCAAGAAATAAAACACTATCAGCACCTCTTGTGTTCTCCCTCTAGTTGCTACTTCCTCCTAAAGAGAACTGTTATCCTGACTTTTAGCACCATAGATTAGTTCTAGTTTTTGAAAATATGACATATATTCTTTTGCTTAGTATATATAGTATTTGTGAGATTCATCCATATTGTTGCATGTTCATTAACCTTAAAGCCTTTCAGTGGCCCCGAGTCTTATACACAGTAAAAGACTGCTTCTTTGGCAAGGTATGAACTATCTTTCAGTTTATTCCCGTTTATCTCTCCAGCTTTGTGGCCGGTCACTCTTGTGTTGTATACTCCAGCCGTTGTCTCAGTTCTCTAACCACACTTTGTTATTTCACACCTCTCAGCCCTTGCTTATCTTGTTCTCTTTGCCGGGATTTCCTTATTTTAACCAGGTAAAATCCTATTTGTCCTTTAAAAGCCAAATTTCATAGCCTCTGTGATGTCTTTCCCCTGTTCCTCCGAAGTTTATCATTCCCTCCTGTGCTAATGTGTAACCTTTGGCATCATTCTCTTACTGAACTTTTCATGAAGCAGCATAATTATTTAAATAGAGGTTTGAATCCAGCAGGTTTGAGGTACTTAGAGGGCATTGTGTATGTGTCAGTTCTTAATAATTATGTCTTAACTGTTGAATAAATAAATGAATTATCATATGAAGCTATATTAATGAGAGATTAAGAATATATGCTCCTTTTAATGACTTTAATAAATAAGCAGAGAAATTTTAAAATACCATTATTGCCCCTGTCCTGTTAATTGGAATGTCTTCTTGGTTCACTTAGGTTTGCAATTTAATATATTTATGAGGTCTTTGGTTTTTAAAAACAAAATGATGTACAACCTAATTGAAATAACTGTATACAAGTTAGTCTTTCTAAAGCATGTTTCATTTCCATCAACAGAATCCAACGTGGCGGAGTCTCGATTTTGGATTAATGCCGGACCGTCTTGATACATCTGTGTCCTGTTTTGTGGTGAAGATATGGGGTGGAAAGGAGGACGTCTACCAGCTGTTGATTGAGTGGAAAGTCTGCTTGGATGGGCTGAAATACTTGGGTCAGCAGGTAATTTTGATGCTGCAGTTTCAAGTAGTTGTCTACTCTAACCTCTTTAACCTATCTGTTGATTCTCTGATTCTACATTTTTAGGATTGTTTACTTAATTATAGAAATTTGAATCTTACTGAGTATGAAAAATAACCTTTAATTGAAGAAACTTATGAAGGACCCTAATCTGCTAATTGAAGAAGGATTTTAAAAAATCATTAATGGCTGTCTCCTGTACACACCCTGACCGGGGATTGAACCTGCAACCCTTGGGTGTATGGGATTATGCTCCAACCAACTGAGCCACACGGGCCAGGGCCAGGGATTTTTTTTTTTTTTTTTTGTAGCAAAGAGTATGCTTTCTCATAGCACAAGGCTTCGTTTTTCTTATTGGATGTTTCCCCCCTAGAGTCTGAAAATTAAGCTGAAAATAAGGAACATACTATCAAACACCGTCTTTTATGGCCAGTGGAGCTGGATTACTCTAGGAATAAGAATAGCTGCTTAACTGTTTATTGGTCACAAGGATGCCTGGCTTATATTCTGTTCCCCATTTCCCATGAGTGTTGGAGCTAGGTGATCACAGCATTCTTCTAGCTGAGCTCAGAAGTAGTTGCATAATTCTTTCTAACACAGTGTTCCCGGGTGCAACTAGCAACCCATTAGAACTGCATGTGAAATGAAACCTATTTGCCATCCCCAGACATAGGTTATTACAATTAATGTTAATAGAAACCTTGTGAATGTTGATATTAATTGCCCTTATTTTCCAGATGGGAAAATTGATCCTCAGGGAATTTAAGAAACTGCTCAAGATCACATGGCTAGCTGGAGCTAAGATTTAAATCTAGACCTGGCTGACTTAAAAACTCATCTCTTTGAGTTGTAGCACACTGGTATATACATGTAGTCCTGGGTAAACACTTTACCTTGGAATGAATTCCATTTCTATTTTGTGATACCAGTAGGATTACTGTTAAAGGTAACCCTAAAATGTTAGTCATATCTACAAACATCCCTTATGTTTCTTAATATTTTACTTACTATCTACTCTGTGGTGTGTGTTTCTTTTAAAGAAGCAATTTAATTCTGCATATTTTTTCAGATTAAAAAAATTTCTGCTCTTATTGACTTACCATACTTTATTTATTTTGTGTCCTACTATGGTGACCAAAACAGTGCGTATAATAGATATTTTCCTTAACTTAATTCTAACCTGCTACAAATTATTAATCTTTTTATTTTTGTATTTTTTCCTCTCTGTTTTATGGCTAGTTTTAATTAAAAATTATAAGTTAATGACTTTTGGTTAGGGCCTTTCTCCTTTCTTTCAGTACCAGAAACTTGTTGCATTTAGGCTGGCCAGCCAGGGCTGTGAACTGAAGCCCAGACCCTTTCTGTCTTCCCACATGCTGTTGGCTCTCTGTGGATAGACTACGATGTTAAGCACTTGTTTATTTTTCTCCTGAAAGTATCTGCATTTTGTGGAGGATGGTGCTTCGTAACAGTAGAGTTGCAGGGCAATAGGCTGTAGAGTTGTAGGGGGGTTTTTGGCCAGAGAAGGTAGCCTTAATCATACTTTTCAACTCACACCTTCCTTAAGTGGTCATCTTAAAATACCCAACTGTGCTTATGTCTAACCTGCCCTAATTTCAGAGAATCAGCATTCAGGTGTCTTCATTACAAAATTTGTTATGCTGGTATAACAGAGAACAAAAGAAAGACAAAACATGTCTAAGCCAATTAGAAACAATATCATTGTAGAAATTTAAAACTCACCTATGAAATAGGTATAAAAAGTTAGATGCTACTAAGAAATCAGATAAAATAGAATTATAAATTTTTAGAAGAAAGTAAGACTAAAATGTATCAGGATAATAGCCAGAATTACTTAGATTCATTGATCTGCTTTCTACCAGACATTGTTCTTAGGGCTAAGGATCCAGAGATGATTAAGAGAAGATTCTTGGACCCGTAAACAGAATAATATATGAATTGCTACATAGAAAGCTATGGGAGTATATGCAAGAGGTATTTAGACAAGCCTGTATAGAGTCAGGGAGGGTTGGCACTGGAATGAAATGTTTTTTACAAGTTAGGTTTGTTGAGGTGTAATTTACGTACAATAAAATTCATTTTTAAAAAATGTACACTTCAATGAATTTGAAAAATGTATGAAGTTGAGTAATGCTGCTATGCGTATTTAAATATAGGTCTTTGTGTTGACATATGTTGTCATTTTTCTTGAGTAAATACCCAAGAATGAAATTTATTGTCCTAATGGTAAGTGTATGTTGAAATTTATAAGAAACTGCCATACTGTGTTTCAAAGTGACTACCATTCTGCTTTCCCATCAGCGAAGTGTGATAGTTCCATGTCTTTGTAAGCACTTGTTATTGTTAGTCTTTTTACTTTTAGCCATTCTAATGGGTTTGAAGTGGTATCTCAGTTTTACATTTATGTCTCTGATACATTTTGAATTAACTTTTATATAAAATCAAGGTTCAGTGTTTTGCAGGTGGATGAACATTTGTTCTTGTATTCTTTGTTGTAAAGGCTATTATTTCTCCATTGAATTGCCTTGTCATCTTTGTTGAAAGTCAGTTGTTGAAGATCATTTGTGTGGGTCTATTTCTGGACTCTTCTCTGGTCTGTATGTCTGTCCCTATGCCAACACCACATTATCTCGATTATTAAAGTGTCAATAGTCTTGAATCCAGGCAGTTTGAATCCTTCAACTTTGTTCTCTGTTCAGAGTTGTTCTGGCTCTTCTAGATCTTCTGCCTTTACATAGACCCTTTAAAATTAGTTGGGATTTTGATAGTTGTTGAATCTAAGAAAGAATGGGGAGAATTGACATCTTAAAATACTGAATTTTTAATCTTTGATTTCGCTCATCAGTTTTCTTGTAGCATACAGCATACATATCTTGCGCATATTTTTTTGGATTTGTGCTTATGGATTCCATGTTTACTGATGCTATTTTATTTTATTTTTAATTTTTATTTTAAATATATCTTTATTGGTTTCAGAGAGAGGGAAGGAGAGGGGGAGAGAGAGATAGAAACATCAAAGAAGAGAGTCATTGATCGGCTGCCTCCTGCACGCCCCCTACTGGGGATGGAGCCCGCAACCCTGATCGCCTGGATCCTAGGTCGAGGCTTAACTGCTGAGCCATGCCCGGCCGGGCAAACACAAAGTCAGTCAAATGTGGTTGTGTGGAGGGAGACTACGCTAATCAGCTTAACAATAACCCACAACCTTTGGACCAACTGATGCTATTTTAAATGGTATTCCTTTAAAAAGTATTTCTATTTCCAATTTTTGTTGATGTTATATAGAAACATTTCTGTATTGATCTTTTATTCTATGACCTTTATTTATTTATTAGATCTGGAAGTTCTTTTTTCTTCATGGATTCCTTTTGTATATTTCTATGTAGTCAGTCATGTTGTCTGTGAACACAGATGGTTTACTTTCTTCCTTTCTAATGTTTATATCTTTTTCTTGTCTTATTTTACTGGTTAAGATCTCAGTACAGCCCCGCCAGGCGTGGCTCAGTGGTTGAGCATCAACCTAGGATCCAGGAGAATGCGGTTCGATTCCCGGTCAGGGCACATGCCTGGGTTTCTCTCTCTGAAATCAATAAAGATATATATATATATATATCTCAGTACAATGTTAATATAAGTGTAGAGTGGACATCCTTGTTTTGTTGCTGATCTTGGGGAAAAGTATTCAGTCTTTCACTATTAAGTATATTAGCTATAAATTTTGTAGACACTTTATCAGGTTGAGGGAGTTTCCTTTCATTTGGAGTGGGTTTGATTTGCTAATATTTCATTAAGGGTTTTTTTTAATCTAAGTTCATGCGGGATGTTGGTCTGTACTTTTCTTGGAATGTCTTCGTTGTCAGGTTTAGTATCAGAGTAATGCTCGCCTCATAAAATGGATTGGGAAGTGTTTACTCTTCTATTTTTAGGAGGGATTTGTGTAGAGTTGTTATTTATTTCACAAATGTTTGATAGAATTCTTTAGTGAAGTCATCTGGGTGCTAAGATTTCTTTTTAAAAAATTTTTTTATTGATTTTAGAGAAAGAGAGAAAGGGGAGAGAGGGAAAGATTGATTAATTTGTTGTTCCACTTATTTATACATTCATTTGTTGATTCTTGTATGTGCCCTGACTAGGGATCGAACCCACAACCTAGGTATGTGCCCTGATCAGGAATCGAACCTGTGACCTTTCGGTGTATGGCATGATGCTCTATCCAACTGAGCCTCACTGGCCAGGGCTCATTGTTAACATTTAGATACATATAGTTGTAATCTTTTATTCCCCTAGTGATATATTTATATAAAAATTTTATGTTTGTAAAGTTTCAGGCCACTTTTAATCTTGAAATTGATTTTATATTTTCTCTTTTCTCATAAAATGAAATACTTATTGAGATAGATTTATAGTTACTATAAATTTATTATTGCAGGCTCATCTTTTGGTGGTGTTCTATTCAGCTAAGTAATCACAGGGAACATGTGATTAATTTTGCTTTAGTAATAGAGGTAGGAGATACTGAAGTCAGATAAACATTCACAGGAATTTTCTGCTGCTGGCTTTGGCTACTCTCTCTCTAGCTAAAGAAGAGATTGAATATTTTATTCTGGTAATCCTTTTTGTCTTTCCCCACTTGCACCCTCACTTAATCCTTTACTGCAGAAGCAATTAAAAATTTTTTGCCACAACTCTTTCTGATCAAGTAACTAAATCTATTTTCATATTTCACAGTTGGATACTTTATACTATTTTGAGTTAGTTTTTATCTTAATTCTTAAATTTTAAAGTTTTAATCTTCTACCGTTCAGGTGAAGTTTAATTTGAGGTGATACTGACCTAAAACTCAAATCAATTCCATTTGAAAAATGACTTAAGCAGACATTTGTTTAAAGACTTTAGGGATTAGATATTATCTTCAAACTGTCTTTTTGACAATAGAAAATATTAATGTTTTATTCCTATGGTTTCATATTTTTTAGACTAGGTGTATTGTGTTTTCTTTGAGATAAGAGAATGTATGGATCAGCTTCTGAATCCCTGGAATAGCCTTTCCATAGCAACCTCAAGAAGTGTTTGTGGAAAATACGTGTGAGCGATGGTGCATGTGATCTCATGTGACGATTTTGTAAGGCCTTTGACTAAAGCAGGAAACCTCAGTCGATTACCTGGGACATGATAGTGATTCTTTTTCTGCTGGCCTGTTAGATGGAGGCAGCCTGCTTTCAGCACGGAAGCATCCTGGTGTAACTGCCATTCCCTGATCATATTCAGACTTGACTGGGATGGAACTAACAGTATGTTTCCCTCCTCTCTTAGATTCATGCCCGCAACCAAAATGAAATAATTTTTGGATTGAATGATGGCTACTATGGTGCTCCATTTGAACATAAGGTAAGAGATTTTCCTAGTGGTAGGAGTTTTGTTTAGTGTAGGTATGCCTTGACTTATAAGGAAGAACTCCTTGTGTAAACAGAATCATGTTTTAAGTATTATTGTAAATTTGTTGTTTAGTGTGGCTTAGCATGAAGCCTTTAAAGTGAAACCTTATTTTTGTAACCACTGCAATTCATCTTTTCTAAATCTAGATTATCTTCATTTTGCTCAAAGAAAATCTGAACTGTCTTTTCTTATTCTGTATAATTCTTTGGGATTAAGAAAGAATGGTGAATTTTGATAAAATCAGTACAATTTTATTAAATGTTTCAGATATCTTTTACAACTTTCAATATATCTAAGAAACTATGAGTCAAGTTATAGTCAGTGATATCTCTCTTTCTAAAAACGAGTAGAGAAAGGAAAGGGAAGGGAATCCATATTTACTGAGTACCTACTGTCTTCCCCTTACACGGACAAACTGGTCCTCCCTGTCCAAAGCAGAATTTCTGTCTGCTTTAGACAGGCTGCGCTGGGTGGAGCAGGGCAGGCAGAACTGAGGCAGTTGTGCTGTGTCAGCTCCCAGCTCAACAGCCAGGTAAGTTATCTGCCTGTACTGGGGAGGAGCGAGTGGAGGACACAGAGAAACTGGAAATGTCCTTTTTATGACCTTCCTTCCTGGGAAGTAGAGTGGGAAGTTTTTCTCTCGTGTGGAAACATGGGAGTGCAGAGTGTTTCCCCCTAACAGTAACAACAATGGCTAATGTTTAGTGAGCACCTATGTGCCAGGTACTATGCTAAGTGCTTTACATATTCTACCTCATTTAAACCTCACAGTTGCCCAGCCAGAGCGGCTCAGGTGGTTGAGCTTCATCCCGTGCACTGAAGGGTTGCCGGTTCGATTCCCAGTCAGGGCATGTACCTGGATTTCGGGTTTTGATCCCCAGTCAAGGAGCATACGGAAGGCAACTAATTGCTCCCCCCCCCACTTCCTCTCTCTAAGCATGTCCTCGAGTGAGGATTAAAAAACCCCACTGCACCTCACAGTTGTCCTTGTATAGAAGAGGAAGCTGGTACAGAGAAGTTAAGTCACTTTCCCAAGATTACACAGCTACTAAGTAGCAGAGCTGGGATTCAAGACCAAATGGTCAATAAATGTCTGTTGAATATATGATTGTCATAGTGGTACATTTTATTCTGTAGTCCTTTAGTTAATGAGTTCTGTAAATTTATAAGTCCTGCTTATCTTGCGCTTGCACCAGCTTTTGAATGAATACCTGACATAGATGCAGAACCTTAAAAAGCATTTATTTTTTCTCTTTTAAGAAAGCAGGGTTTCTAGTCAAGATAGCATTATAAGTACACACTTTTGAGACCCTCTGCTACACCAAACAAAAAGCAATGATTGTTGAAATCAGAGAAATTTAAAGAAGACCTACCTTGCTAAAACAAAGAAACAAAAAGCAAGATAATAAACATCTTTGAAACAGAAGTGGAGTAGAAACACAAAGACATGGGCAGAAGCAGAAGCCTTGGGAACAGTTGGCTGAAGGATGAGCTCCTCTGGGCAAAGCGAACGCTAAATGAGCACTAAAAGCTGAGATAGGGCTCTCCCTAAGAAGCCTTAGACATCCAAGACATCTCAGAGAAACTGCAGACCTTTAAGGATAATTTTAAAAGGGAAAAATCTTAAAAGTTAGCGGAGAGAAAGGAAGTATTACACAAATTAGGGTGACAGCCAACTTCTTATCAGCAATAATAGATGCCAGAAGAAATACATCTTCAAAGTTGTTAGCTATTAATATATAATTCTACTTCTAGTAAACTTTCAGTCAAGAGTGAAGGTGACAGAGAAACAGTGTTAAGTGCACAAAGATTGAGAGTTTACTACCCACAGACCCTTTCTGTACTATACTGAATAAGCAGATCGGGAAGCGGTTCCAAAGGAAAGATGTTGATAGTAGCAGCAAGTTACAGCAAAGTGCACAAAAGCATCTGAAATGTTGGTGAATTCAGTGGACTGTTGTCTGTAAACTAAAAGCACACGAAAACTAATACGTAGTAAGTTCATGCATTTTAAGGTAAGACAAACTAGACCACTGTTATTCAAAATATAGTCTGTGGACCACAGCTAGTCCAAGAACTTTCTGTCACCAGTCTGTGATGAGCCAAGTATAAAATGTGGGAGTAAATGTTTCAAAACTTTTATGGCAATTTGACATTATTGTGCCTTTTTATTGTATTTTACAAAAGTATCATCAGCTCACAGGGGACTGAAGGCAAAGAAGCTGGTACTTGCCCTCAGAGTTTGAGAAGCACTGCTCTAGACAACAGTCACAAGGTGGGGAGAGTGTTTGAAGAGTTAAGACTTACTGGGGCCACTGATTTATTTGGGAGGAAGGTAGAGGTACTAAACAACTTTAGAATTGCTTAGACACATTTGTGGTCAAGTGTGCGTGTTAAAGATGTAAAGATACCTACGAATGGCTGGAAACAGAATACAGATTTTTAATTAGCAGAGGAAGAAAAATACAGAGTAGAAAACTTTGTCAAGTTGGTAGTAGACAGAAAAGGAAATCAAAAGAAAGCAAAACGATAAACGGGAACATGGAGTACAGTGGTAGAAATAAGTCCAGATACATTTATAGTCACAGTTGTCGCAAATGGATATGTCTGTGTTTGAAATATTTCATGAAGGATTTAAAAATACTGAAGCAACAAGGCTCTGAGAACAGGGCTGCGTTTTAAGGATGCGTGTTCTAAACAGAAGAGGAAGAGTTACACTCGTGAAGCAATAAGGAAGCGTGTTTTAAAGCAACTTTTAAAGTAGCGATGCAGCTTTTGTTGACTAGTTCTTCAGCACTCTTGTTTTTTTACATTACCTGTAACCAGAAACTTTTATCATCCCTTCTGATGATTATGTGGCTGTTAATCCTCCCTCTATTCATATTACTTAAAGTGCTGTCAGTCACTATGGGTCTAAAAGCTGAAATTACTTATTTATTTGCTCAGAACTTTTGCCTCTTTTAAAATCTGTTTTCCAGAAAGGCTTTATTCATTTGATAAAAAAAAACTGTTGAGTTTTTAGGAATCTAGTAAATGTCTCAACTTCAGTGGACAAGAAGTTCAGTCTCACTACTAGGAGTGTGTTTGGAAATTAACACATTTGAAAATCTTTGGCTAAAACATACAGTGTGGGTTAGAATCGTTTGTTCAGTAACCTCTGCCAGCATTATTAGGGAGTAATATCTTCTTGTTAATTTTATGTAGTAAAATTTTATTTATTTGGTATACAAATGTGGAACTCTTAAACATTTAACAGGTGCAAAGAGATAATTAAATATATGATGATGAAAATCTATTTTTAGTTGTAAAAATGATTCCTGATTTTTTTCTGTCAATAAATGTTAAGTACCTACTATGTGCCCATTATTAAACTAGGTACTGAAAGGGAAAAGCAACACAGTCTTTCCCTCCTGTTGTGGGGAAAAGCCCAGTTCTTCCCTACTGTGTTTCTTCCCTCTGTGTCTCCATTACTACTCCCACTGCATTTCTGACTTTTCTGGTCACCAAATGTGTGGAGGCTTTTCCCTGCACCAGCAAGTCATTCTCTGTGACACCAGCCAGGTGTCTGACAATTTAACTCAATTCTAACACCATCTACCTGGAGGTAGTGTCAGATGCCACAGGTTAAGAGCTCTGTTCCACAAGACTGCCCCTATCTGCTCTCACTTCGGATGCCAGTTGCAATCTCAGGTTATCACCTATGCTTCTGTTCCAGTGACTCCTCCTTGGGTTTGATTAATTTGCTAGAGTGGCTCACAGAACACATGGAAACACTTACTTACATTTATCAGTTTATTAAAGGATTTGATATATAGGATACAGATGAACAGCCAGGTAGAATAGATGCATAGGGCGAGGTCTGGGACGGCCCCTACTGTAGAAACTTCTGTTCCTGTGGAGCTGGGGTATGTCACCATCCCAGTATGTATGTGTTGGCCAACTTGAACTCTGTATTTCTGGGCTATTATGGAGGCTTCATTACGTAGGCATGATCAATCGTTAACTCCACTTTCAATCCTTCCTTCTCAAGACGATGGGGGTCGGGGCTGAAAATTCCAAGCTTCTGATCATGGCTTAGTCTTTCAGGTGACCAGCCCTCATCTAGGGGCCTACTCATTGTTGCCTCATTGGAACAAAAGACACTCCTTTCACCCAGGAAATTTACAAGGATTTCAGGAGCCCTATGTCGGGAGGCCAAATATTAGGACAAAAGATGCTTTTTAGGCTATCACTTAGGGGAATTACAAGGGTTCTAGGAGTTCTGTGCCAGGAACTGGGAGCAGAGACCAATATATAAATATAAGTAAGTAAAGAAATATATAACCTGACAGGTACTGTGTATTAGACACATTCACAGACATTTATTCTTTTAGTTGAGGAGATAAAAGTGCATGTATTCCATAGAGCACTAGTTTGCAAATAGGTTTAGTTTGAAAAATGTTTTGATATCAGTTATTTGGGTCTTGCAGATAATGCAGGTAATTATAGCAGACCTTAAATAATTTGAAGAGCATGTAGGAATTAGTGTTCTTTTAAATATCTGAGAGCTGTAAGAAGAACACTGTTGTCACTTGAAGTTGGGGTGGATGGTGGTTGGGGAGTAGGCTAGGTGGCCAGTTGAGATGTTTTCTATGTGTATTTAACTGCTAGGATGGTGACTGGGGGGACAGGGCGGAATGAGAGGCTGTTGGACCAGCTTTTTATCCACTAAGCTTGAACACTTTCAGATCTGAGTTCAGGAGTTTTGCCTTTTATATAGAGATGTAAGAGTATCTTTGCCTGAATTTCCTTTTGGCAGCTACTCTTTTTAGGAGGATGCTGACAGCTGCCTGGGCAAATGCACACCTAGTGGTTAAGAATATGGGTTTTGGAGTCAGATTGATGTGAGTTTAATTTCAGGCACTACTGCTGCCTACCTGTGAGAGAGACCTTGGACAAATTGAGTCGTGTCT